AAAAATTAATCAATTGGTCTATATAGAAGATTGCTTTAAAAGACTTTGGCTGCGGTCTGACCCATTAGTTGCAGAAGAACGGAGTAAAGGGCTGTTACTTTGCAAAAACTGCTTGGATAGAGGGCATTCTAAATGCTCATGTATGCGCAGAGGTGTATCAGCTGATGATATTTTAAACAATCTTAAATTAATTTTGCAACATATGTGTATTTTTTAATTTTTCAAAACCAAATTCTTAGACTTTAACCTTAAGACGGCAATTATAAAACTCATTTTTTTAAAAAACCGCTAATGATGCCAACTAAAGCATAGCAGCAAATGAAAGCTTTTATTTTGTATTTCGGAAATCATATAAAGTTTAGTATGGTGCTATTAGCGGTTTTTGAGATATTCACCGAAATGCTCAAAAACTATAACAAAATCATGTGCAAAAATTCACAGCTTTTATATACATTTTATGAAAATTATCCAATTTTTTTTCTGAAATACCATTATTATTAGCCAGAAAAATATTTTTTTATGTAGGTTTTTTATCTCTTATTGTTAAACAAAAATTTTCCAAGTTTTAGATCAATAATCTTTTTTATTTCATCACTTTTTTCCGAGGGATACTCAAAACCTCTGTTGGGTTTTAAAGCGTGTTTTTTCTTCCAAATTGTTCAAGTTTGCATGGCCGTAATTTTTTAAATAGACAAAAATTTAACTTTTTTTATATAGCTTAAATCTGCATGCTATTTAAATATACAAAAATTAAGTTAAATTTTAATTTCAAAAAAATAAATTTTTTACTCATGTCCACCATTTAAACCACTGTGCACCACACTGTTAAAAAAATAGCGCGTTTTTTACGGAAAGGTTCCGGCAGCTGCCGATGACCAAACTACCCGTTATTTTACGGAAAAACTCATCGTATGTAAACGGAAGTTTCCGTTAACAAACGGTTTTTTCCGTTAAACAACGGGTAGTTTGGTCATCGGCAGCTGCCGGAACTTTTCCGTAAATAAACGGATACATCCGTTTAAGTTAAACCGTTAAACAACGGAAAGGCAACTCAGCTGCCGGATAGTTTCCATAAATAAAAGTAAATTTTAAATTATTTCTAGCAAATCTTATATATATATATATAAAATCAATGGCATATTTTTAAAAATATTTTCTGAAAACAAATTTTCTTTGATTTACATAAAAAATAATAAAATTTCCGTGATTTACAATTCACTTCAACAGCAAATACACATACAAATAAAAAATTAGTAAACTAATAAACACTTTCTAAAAGATTATTAACAATTTTGATAAAGTATATACAAGTAAATCTAAATATGAATAGTCCAGTTATTAATGTTGAATGCCGTTAGTTACTATTGTTTGATATTAGTAACGGTTCTGTATTCTGTAAAATACTCTAACGCAAACAGTTTCCAATCTACTTTTGAAATTACACGAGGTAAGCTCTTAAATTTGATAAGGAGATTAAGTTTTATTATTTTTTTAAACGTTTGTATTAGATTTGTTGTGTGTTGATGCCCTAACGATTTTTTATTTTTGTTTACTATATGTTTTATTTATTGACTTTGGTTCCACGCAAACTTTTATGGCTTTTCATTAAATATTTTATTTAATATAACTTACTGGATATAAATGAGTTTTGTTCATAAATATAAATTTGATATTGTACGTTTGTTTATTTATCTCGTAATATTTGCAGCAAACATTTGCTTACATTTTTATTTGTTTATTTTATTTAGTTATTTAGATGCTTAAAATACTAGCAGTAAGCATTTCCTACCATTTCTATTTATACTTTGTTTATTTATTTAGACTTGAATTAAAATAAAATTTATGTTTCCAGAGTTGTGATTAATCATAATTCAGTTGTTGAACAGATAAAAATTGTAGATGTTTATATCATATATATATATATATATATATATATATATAAAATTTGAAACTGCATTTTATTTTGTTTTCACATTTATTCCCTTCTTTTGCTATTATAAATAGTTCAGTAAAAATTTATTAATTAAAAACAAAAGAAGTTTTAAGTTTGTTTTCATGCTTTAAATAAAATTAAAAAATGGCATTATGCCAATAATATTTATTTTTTTATTTGATTATATATATTTATACTAGATTTTTTATTTATTTTATCTGTTTATCAATATGATTTTTATTTTATATTTGATCTTTTTATAGATATACTGTTGTAGCTACTACAAAGGGAAATGTTTATAATTGTTTTGATAATTTTTCTTTTAAATTTTAAGCAAGATATATATTTGTAGTTTATTTTAAATTTTATATTACATAAATTATTTTACTTTATTATGCAATTTAGAGTAGTACAAAAAGAGATAAGAGTTTGGATGAATTTTAATAACATGTTTAATGAAAACTATGATGCTGAAAGGGTGATTAGACAAGATGAAGTTTTACATTTACAAAATGATGTAAATGCTCTATAGCGTGCTGAAAATAATCATCAACGAAATGAAAGAAACAGACTTAGGCGACATGAAGTTAATCGTCAGCAAAATGTAAAAAGAGCTGTTATACGAGCTGAAGAGAATTTAAACCTAATTCTGGAAAGGTTGGTTAGACGAGTTGAAAATAATCATCGTTGAAATGAAAGAAAAAGGTTTAATCGTGATGTGGTTAATTATCTCCAAAATGAAAGAATTAGGTTTAATTGTGATATAGTTAATTGCCGTCAAAATGAAAGAAATGCTGCTAGACCTGGAAGAATGTATTCTATAGCAAGAAGTAACACTATTCCAGATTGTAATTATTTAGGAGAAATGAATCAAATTTGTCAGCACTGTGGTGCTAAGAAATTTTTAGATGAAACACATTTTCTATGTTGCCATAATGGTAAGGTAGCTTTGCCTCCACTTTCACTGTTTACACAATCTTTACAGGATTTATTTACAGGGTGTTATGTAGATCGTAATGTTAATGACAATTTTTTAAAACATATTCGAAATTATAATGCTTGTCTTTCTTTCGCTTCTTTTAAAGCAGATGTAGTTCAACCATTGAATCATGGGCCTCCATGTTTTAAAATATGTGTCTAGATTTATTATCGTGTAGGTAATCTCAGGCCAGATCAAGATACTCCACCAAAATTCTCTCAACTATATATTTATGATCCACTTGTAGCAGTAAACTTTAGAATGCAACAACGTGGGAATGATCTTTGTTTACGTGGTTTAATGTTTCAATTGCAAACTATAATTACTTAACAAAGTCCATTTGCTCTTGCAATTAAAAACAGAAGGCTGAAGTAGAAGATGAAGAAATTCGTCAAGCGGCTCTAGAAGGTCGCTCAGCTTCTGTTGTAAAAATGTCTTTACTTGAAGGGGGTGATAGACGTCGCTATAATCTACCTTCACATGATAAAGTTGCTGTTGTGATTGTTGGTGAAGATGGTGCTCCTCTAACCTCGAGGGAAGTTATTATTTACCCAAGAGGTCGTCCATTAAAAATTGTATCAAGTATGTCAGCCAACTTGGATCCTATGTTTGTTTTTGTAATAAACCTTTTTCAAATTTTAGAAGCTTCAGACGATATGATTGTTCCAATAAGTAAGTTTTTGATTTTTTGTCGTTTGTGGTTTTTATAAAGATTTTTTAATCTTTAAATAATCATCTTAGTTGTATCAATGTTGTTTTTAGTGGAACCACAACAGCAGAATGGTAATTTTTTGTTTGTTTCGTTAAATAGTTTTTAATCAACATATAAGTTCATCAGTTAAATTAATAAGCTATGATTTATTTTTTATATTTTTAGTTGTTCAGCCACAACCAAATAGTAAGATTTTTTCCTATAACGTAAAACTAATTGTTAACATAATCAATTTATTTTTAAAATCCCTTATTTGTAATATATATTTTATTTTATATTTTTAGTTGTTTAGCCACAACCAAATAGTAAGATTTTTTTTCTATAACGTAAAACTAATTGTTAACATTATCATTTTATTTTTAAAATTCCTTATTTGTAATATATATTTTATTTTATATTTTTAGTTGTTCATCCACAACCAAATAGTAAGATTTTTTTTCTATAACGTAAAACTAATTGTTAACAATATAAATTTATTTTAAAATCCCTTATTTGTAATATATATATATATATATATATATATATATATATATATATATATATATATATATATATATATATATATATATACATATATATATATATATATAAATATATATATATATATATATATATATATATATATATATATATATATATATATATATATATATGTATATATATATATATATATATATATATATATATATATATATATATATATATATATATAAATATATATATATATATATATATTTATATATATATATATATATATTTATATATATATATAAATTTATATATATATATATATTTATATACATATATATATATATATATATAAATATATATATATATATATATATATATATATATATATATGACATTTTCTATTTTAATTTATAGCGCCTTTGCAACTGATGTGTAAGATTTATTCAAATATTCTTTATATATTATTCTTATACCCTAATATTAGTTATATATATATATATATATATATATATATATATATATATATATATATATATATATATATATATATATATATATATATATATATATATATAATCAAATAAAAAAATAAATATTATTGGCATAATGCCATTTTTTAATTTTTTTTTGAAATATATTTGCATATTTTTATAGCAAAACTAGGAGAGTGTTCATGTTCCGAGATGAGATCATCCATTTAAGGTAATGAAGTTATGTAAGAAATTCGTTTTGCGAGATATCATGCGAGTTGTCGACAAAGATTCTTAAATGTAATGTAATTTACCTAATATTTATTTATCTAATTCTGGTAAAACCTATTGTATATAGCCTATTGTATAGAAGATATACTTTTGATCAGCATTACAAGTAAAGTATTGTTTGTTTTTTTAGACATTTGATATTCAAAAATTAATGATATCGTACTTTCCGCATTACTTTTCCAAACTACTCTGTGCCTCTTGAAGAGGTACTGGTTGGTTTTAAAAAATAAAGAAAAGTAAGTAGAGGCTCTTGCATGCAAGGTGTACTGGTTGTTGTGCAGGTGTAATGTATAATATTGTAAACCTATAAAGTTTAAGTATATTTTTGGTATCCTAACAATGTCAACTATTTTTAATATATTTAAATACTTGTATGTTCATTATTACAATAAACTTTATTGCTATTATAAATATTTAAATATATTGATAATAGTTTAAATATACAAATATTTAAATATTTAAATATATTGATAATAGTTGATATTGTTAGGATAGTTAAAATCAGGCATAATTACATAGATAAACAATTTTTATAAGTTTTCCTAACATTATATCACAAAATTAACTCAAGTTTTCATAATACCTATGAAATTATAATTGTAATTTTTGATATTTTAATAATATCAACTAATATAATGTATTTAGTTTTTAAAAAATGATTTTTAAAATTGTTTTAATAATTTATACTGATTCTATATTTAATTTTTTTACTTTTTTTATTAGTTTGACACTAAAAAGATCTTTAATTATTTTCTACTAACAATTCATATCCTTAACAATGGATCTCAATAATCCAATTAATATATTTGCTGTTCAAGATAATAGTAGTATAATAAGCCAGACTATAATTGATCATGTGGTATTATTTTTTAATCATGTTGATAAAATTTATTAGTAATACATTTATTATTTAGTTATTTCATTATTATTCATTATTATTGATATCATATAATAATTCAAGAAGATATTATATAGTTGTTATTAATTATAATATAATTATTATCATTTAATGTTAGCTCCTTAAAATTCGTGTATTTTATGTGTTAATTTTCTAATTTATGCCAGTTATATGAAGAAATATAATGTTCAACTTTATTTGTTCCATAATTTTATCTTGGTTTTTGAGACAGATGATTTATAATTTTGATAAATAAAACTTCAATAAATTGATAAATAAATTGCATCATTATTATATTCAGATTCCATTGGAAGAAGAATATAGTGTGGATTTTAATGTAGAAAAAGATGAAGACAAAAAAGGTAAAACTGCATATTATCATGCATTCTGTACATATCTATATATATATCTATATCTATATCTATATATCTATATATATATATACATATATACATATATATATATATATATATATATATATATATATATATATATATATATATATATTTATATATATATATATATATATATATATATATATATATATATATATATATATATATATATATATATATATATATATATATATATGTATATATATATATAGATATATAGATATAGATATAGATATATAGATATAAATATATAGATATAGATATATAGATATATAGATATAGATATATAGATATAGGTATATAGATATAGATATAGATATATAGATATATTGCGCTTGATCCAATACATCCAAGGTGCCTGTTAAGAAATAACTTGTTCTTAACAGACACCTTGATTTCGGACTACTTTACCACCTTTGTATTTACTTTATTATTTACAAACCAGAAAAACAGAAAATTATATAGTAAAGTTTACACAATAGGTGATATATATATATATATAGATATATATATATATATATATATATATATATATATATATATATATATATATATATATATATATATACATATATATATATATATATATACATATATATATATGCGGTAGTTGTATAGTGGTAGAGCGCTCGCCTCATAAGCAAAAAGTTCCAAGATTAATCCCTAACCTGTCCCTAGTAGTTAATTGGCAACATCATTTTTCCTAATGCCGAGGGTTGATATATTAGGGCGTGATATGGGCCACCTATTTTCTAAAAAATATCTTTTCATATTCCTTAAATTTTTTTTGGTTCTGATAAGCAACTTTGTTAAACTTGTTCAAAATTTAATTGGATTTAGGGGGAGCACAAGATCCATGAACGCTTACCAGGTCCCTAATATTATATAAAAAAAAGTTTTTCAAAAGTATGTCACTGTATGAATGTGGATGTCACACCCTAATATATATATATATATATATATATATATATTTGGGTGGTTGTAAAAACAACTTTTTGTGCTAACGTTCCCTAAATGTATTCTTAATTATAAAACAAAACTGGATTTAAAGGTTTTATTTAGTAATGATAGCAATGAAGAATTTAAGTAAATGTGGTAGCAGCATTGCAGTTGAAAATGCTTTGGTACACAATATCATTATGGTTCCTCCGATTCTTCAGGTAGAAGAATCTTTACTATCTCTTGGTAGTCATGGCAATGTCGATGGAGTTTTCTACTGCCTTTTAATTAAAGTTAATGCTTTAGGAAAAGAAACTTATTTGGCTAGGTATTTTTTTGAATTTACTTTCAGCAAGTATTTTCTTTCCCTTGAAAAACACGGCATTCTTTTTCTCCTAAACAATGGTCACTTTAAAACATTTTTTCTGTAGATTCATTTCAAAAAAAAATTTTTAGAAAATGTTTATTGCTGGCTCTTATTACTTTTTTTAATTTTCTAGTTCTTTGTTCTAATTTCAATTTTCTTTTCCAATATCACATTGTTTTATACTTTTTTCAATTTTTTTGATCATTAGATATTTTGAGTTTGGCAGTTTTACTGCATACTTTGATAATATTGCACATGGAAAGCTGAAAAAAGATTTAATGGTTGATGAAATTCTTCCATATTGTGTATTTACAATAAAGGATGTTGATATGGAACTTGCATTAAAAAAAGAAACTTTTGGACACAGAACTAAGAGTGGTATTTGATTAGGGATTGTCCATAAATTATGCAACGCAAAATATATTTAAATAACAAAAGTAATAGATATTAAGCTTTTTTACAATTTTCATTTAACTTATTGGGGTATTTTGATTTTATTTAAATTAAGACTCTGCGAGGGAAAACTTTTGATCTTTTTTGTTTTGCTCATTGTGAAAGTTTGCGTTACATAATTTATGGACGATCCCTTACGGATTTTTTGTCAGAATGCAAATTTCTTTTTGCCTTAAAAAAAAATTAATACACAATAATTATATATGTATATGTATATATATATATATATGTGTGTGTGTGTGTGTGTGTGTGTGTGTGTGTGTGTGTGTGTGTGTGTGTGCGTGTGTGTGTGTATATATATACACACACATAATTTATCTAGTTTTTGTATTTACTTAAAATTAAAAAGACAATGTTTTGTTAGGTTTTTTTATAGGTAGCAAAAGTCGTATTCACAAAAGCAGAACTTTTAATCGTTTGATATATGAGTGCAAAGGTGGCCTAAATGAAAGTTTGAAAAAACTAATAATTGAGCTTGATAAAAACAATTTTTGCGTTTGCTACCATCTAATTGCTGCGTGTCTTCTTAAAGACCAATTGTGGGAGGGTGTTAATCAAGGAAACAAAAAGTATGATACTGGATTTTCTGTATTTTCTTTCTAATTTGATATAATTACATTAAATATATGTAGCAATACATAATTATAGTATATAATATTTAATAGTATATTTCCTAACAAGACTAAGTAAGGCTTAAGATCTATGCTTAATACTTACTTAAACTCTCAACACCGATAATTCAAACTTTACATAAGAAATAATATTTAACATTAATGATTTTCTTTATATACAAACTTTTCTGAATTGATTGGTTTATTTATCTATCTACTAATTTTATTAGGTATTTCATTTGCCAACCTTCAGAAAAAGCAGAAGAATGGGAGACTTCGCTTATGCTTCACCGAAGTAACCCACAGGGAGCTTCAAGGTATGGAAAACTTTGGACTTCTTTAATAGAAAACCCATCAATAGAAGACCAATTCAGAATTCTGTCAGATCTTCCTAACCATCATAAATGGATGTGGGATAAACTTGTTAAAGGTGTAAAATATGAACAGAAGTTTTCAAATTCATGCAGATATTTTCCTGGTTCACCCAGAAACAGAATTCTTCAAGCGTCTTTTTATCGAGTTACCTCTGATAACATTATTGTATCAATTTTAAGAAATGTTTTTGGTGTTAAAGAGACAGTTGTATATCCATCTAGAAAAGAAAACTTATCTCTAATAGTGTCAAAAGCAAAAAAGAGTAGGATATCTAAAGAAAGTTTTCTTGACCAAGTTAGTATTTAAGAAATAAGGTTTATTATAATTTTTATTATTTGTTAATTTCTTTATCGATTTGTTGTAGGAGTTTCAATATAATAATTTGCATTGTGGAAAAAAAGTAGTTACAAACAATATTGGCATCACAGATTCTATTAATGAGGTAATTTGAATAGCAATTAAATAGAATCAAAAAAAGATACGTTAAAAGTTTTTTTTAAATCTACTTTTTTCTTTACTTTTTATATTTTTTCAAATATTTTATTCCAAATAATTTGCAGAAAACAACAATTTTTGTTTCAGGTTAACTTGGTTCAGCATTTAAGTAAAAGAAACAGTCTCTATGAATACTTTTGTGCTGAACTTTTTAGTCATGGCGTTCTTTGTTGGCGTGTTCGAAAACCGTCTCTTAGTATATGTGTTATGAACAACTACAATCACGAGAACGGGAACTTTCAAGTAGGTTTAAATTTTGTTTTTTTATGCAAATAGATTTATTAACAGTATATAAATATAGTAGTAATATGTAATTGTAATATATAAGTAATATGTTTAATGTTATAACAATTTAAAAATTTATTTCTAAATAAGGATAAAGAATTTGTTCAGGTAAAAGCTGAAACAATGTGTTCTTCTACAATATACAACTGCTCCTGTAAAACATTCTCATCATGTGTTTTTTTTCAATCAGAAAATTTGACAAATGTAAATAATTGTTGTCATTGTCGTCTGTTAAACCAGCTAATGCAAATGCTTGATAATCCTGATTTCATCCCAGAAAATAGTTTATTAAACAAAAAAAAACTTATGGATAGTTTAATCTATCTCAAATCAAATGTTTTTAAGTTAACTTCAAAATCGGGAGTTGAAAGATATTCGGGAGTTGCTGATTCATGTTCTTTTGTTACAGTTTTTGAAATTTCAAAATCATCTCGCAAAGTAATAAAATGTCATGATTCATTATGTCAAATATCTGAAGGAAGTACTCGTCAAATTAATAATCTACACAATGGTTGCTTATGTCCACATCTTAAAGTCTTTAGAGAATATTTTTATCTTGTTGAAAACACAGTAGAATCATTTTGTAATGACAATGATAAAGTGATCTCTTTTGATTCTGTGTTAGAGGATAATCTACCAAGGGAAAAGGTTTTTAGTTGTTTAAATTTTTTATTTATTTTTGGCTTTAGCGTAAATTTGTTGTGTAAATTCTTGTTTTTATTAGTGGGAAGATGTTTTTGATGTAGCATCTGGTTTGTGGACATTTGGAATTAATGCCCCAAGTAAAAAAACTGTTTCCAATGACCAATTTAATGAAAAATTTAGCAATGACATTGTAAAAAGACAGTCTGCTACCAATGGATATTGTTTTATGCCTTCTGTTGATCTAGACAACTGTGACTAAGGTGTAAGAACATTTTTTTTTTTTAAGTTAAAAATAGTTGATTCAATTTAATGAAATGTTTTTACAAGTAAAAAAATTTACCAAATAATAATTGTGGTATATTCAAATAGTCTGGTAGTTACTAACATCCAACAACCAGGGCTCACTCGGTTGCAATGTGCTATGGGAAATCAAAGCACATTTACTATTTGACTTGAGTCAAGTACCTAGCTCCTGAAATACTGTTTCTACTCAGAATAGAACTTTGCCTGCATGGATGCTGAAATGTTAGTTTTAAGTAATTTAAATCAATCAGTATACCCTGTAATTAGCATTTCCTTTTTTGTTATCGTTTTTATACTTCACATCAATTCTATTTCAGGTAACAAAATCAACAAAAGTTACGGAATATATATATATGTGTATATATACATATATATATATATATATATATATATATATATATATATATATATATATATATATATATATATATATATATATATATATATATATATATATATATATATATATATATATGTATATATACACATATATATATATTCCGTAACTTTTGTTGATTTTGTTACCTGAAATAGAATTGATGTGAAGTATAAAAACGATAACAAAAAAGGAAATGCTAATTACAGGGTATACTGATTGATTGATTTGATATATATATATATCAAATAAATCAATCAGTATACCCAGATATATATCAGGGTATACTGATTGATTTATTTGATATATATATATATATATATATATATATATATATATATATATATATATATATATATATATATATATATATATATATATATATATATATATATATATATATATATAACAATTAGAACCAAACAACAGCAATTTTTAAACAAATTATGCACAGTTAGTTATCTAAAGTGATTAGAAATAAAAATCAAAATACATAAAAGTATTTAGGTTTATGTATGTATGCTTGTATTTATATATATTTGTGTGTACACATATATGTGTTACTCATCCAACGCATTCAATAACACTAACATACACTACGGTATAAATGACAATTTGACCAACATGTGGAACTACTTCAAATTCAACAATATAAGTACCTTGTCATTTCACCAAAAAAAATGATTTAAGTACATATCAAGAATAAAGACAACAATGAATGGTTTTATAGAGAGTTAAAAAGTCTAAAAAGATTGCACAACGATTATTTTTTTTTTAAAAGATATGAACTGTTAGATCAAGAGCTTTTTCTGGTAATTTTTAAAGTTTTATTTATTAATTTGTTAATATTGTAACAATATATCATAACTTTATTTTAAATTTAGCTAAACTTAGTTTATTTTAAATTTAGTTAAACTAAAGATTTGTACTATCTTTTTGTAAAATAGAGAAAGAGAGCTTTTAAAAAATAGAAGATTTTTATTTATTTTGGTTATTTTACATACTTTTTTTAATATATATAAAAGTTTACGATTTATGATTAGACAGAAAAGAATACTTTGACTCAAATTAATGAAGTAACTTGTATTAGAATAAGAATTTAAATTCTTTATTTTAATTAACACGATTTTTTTTTTTTTCTTTTAATACAAACTTTATTTATAAAACTATTGTTATTTTTTTAATTTCTTAAATAATCAAACTTAAATATTTGATTATTTGCAAAATATACTAATGCCAGAATGGGCATCCATTTGTATTGCTTCAGTATTTGAATTATTCATTCTACTGCAAAAGTTGCTTCAATTTTTCCATGATTAATGATGATTTAATGCTTGACAATGATTTAAAATTTTTTTTATTACAGGCTGGGTGGGTATCTGAATCTGTTTTATCTGGTTATACAGAATTTTACCACAAAATCAATATGTACACAGATCGTGAAGTAATTGAGTGTGATGTTTTTTTGAGAAAATGTTTATCCAATACTTGCATTAGTTATTGGGATGGCTGTGAAGACTCTGTTTTTTGCTTATCTAAATCCACTTGTGCTGGTTATGAACTAGGTAAAACCGAAAAAAGTTGTTCTGTTCATTTGCTCAAAAACTGAGTTAATTTTTTAATTTTGAATTTCTTGCAGGTTGGGAATTTGTCGATTTTGTTTTGTCTAAAGGAACATTCAGCGGTTTTGTCAATTTGTATTCAAACAAGTACAAACGTAGAAGTACCTCTTATTTGCCATTTATGTCTACACAAACATTTATTGATTGGTTTTTTGCTAAGGGCCTCCCACATGCACATTGATTTTAGAGAAAAATGTCATATGTGTCCAGAAAATCAACAAATACCAGTTTTAGCTTGCGATGCGACAAAAATAGGAATTAGCTTTAAAAATTCTTTTGTAAAACCTATAGAGTCAGCTGAACTTTATGAGATTGTTCCAACACCATTACGGCGACTAGATAGATCATTTATTTTTAATTCGGAAAAATTAGATTCTAAACAGTTTTCCGAGGCTAGAGCTCATTTAAGAAAGATTTGTCTATATATTCTATCTGTTGAAAACTCTAATTATTTAAACTTTGATGCTGATACATTAAAGTTGAATTCGGTTCTTGTGAGTTATATTCCAGCTGAATGTGTACCATCATTTCAGCTAATGATTTCTGAATCACCTGTCCCAAATGTTTTGCGATGCTCCTATGCTAAAGTTTTTAAAATACTAGCTGCTGATAGCTCCCTTGATTCATTAGTTCCATTACGGTTCACTAATGAAGTTGCTTGCATATGTGAACAATTTTTATCTAGTCTAGGTGATTGTGAACTTGTTGTTAAGTTTTGTTATTTATTGCGTTGCTTCTCTCCTGAGCTAGCTAGGTTAGTTGAAATATCCTCTAACTACAACAATACACCTTCTGGAGATATTTTGCTACTAATACAATACTGCTGTAACTTTGTGAAAAAAATTCATATTAGTGATGTTGAACCAAATAATGCAGAAGTCATTGAAGGCACTTATAATCCACCGCGATATGGTAGAGCATATTATTTTGAAAAGCATGGGTGCCAAATAAGAAAAATGCGAGTGTTTTCTGCAGATAAAAGTTCCAGTAATAACATGTTTGATGATGTTCCATCAGAAATCTGCAATAAATTGTTTCCTCAAGTATCTAAAAAAGGTGTTTCTTTTCTTTTTTTATGGTTTTGCCCTATACATGGCCATTGTTACGGATTCCATATTATCCCAGGGTCTGAGGGAAGAAAAGATCCACATGCCTCGTTGTATACACATCTTGAAGTTGCTCCAGAAAATATTGTGTATGACTTTGCTTGCAGCTTGTCAGAGTTTTGTCACAACCGTGAATCTGGTTATTTTAAAAATACCTCCTTTTTTCATGATGTATTTCATGGCTACACACATAAATGTGCTGATGTTTTTCGGTGTAATCGTTTGGGGAATTTTTATCCAATCAATTCATCTATCTGCGAACAGTTTAATAGCTTTTTGCAGAATATAAAATATTCTGCTAAATTAATGACACAAACACATTTTTGTTTTTATCTACAATTTTTTATTCATATTTGGAATCAGCGGAAAAAAAATTTATTTGAAAAAAGAATTATTGTATCAGAATGCACTAGAGAATAGCTATTTTAGAACATAATTTTGAAAATCTATCTTTTATATCGTGAAAATCTAACTATTTTTCACATCATAAGAAAATATATTATATATTTTATTAAAAAACATTGTTAAAATCAAATCAAATTTTTGCAAGTAATAGTTAAATAATTTAACAGTTTACGTTATAGTATAGAATATATAGAATAAAGAATTGTATGCTGACTGATTGTCTGTTTCAGTTCATTCCATTAATGGAATACTGAATTAGTCATTCAGATAGCTCTGTACCAACATGCTACTTGCAAATGCCATATTTCACACAGTACAATAACAGTCGAAGTCAGTCAAATTAGAAGGTATGATAAATGTTCTTTACTAATTTATTAATAATGTTATTTTAAGAACTTATTTTCCACACGCAGCAGCCTTGTTTGTCAAGGTTTCGTATTTTAAAGTTTAAAAGTTGAGAAAGAGTTGTAATCACAATTTAAAAAAAAAAACCCAGAGGTGAGTAATAGAAAAAAAAAAAGAATATTGATCTTTATATTAAATGAAACAATTTATTTTAGATCTGTACACATTATATATGGCATATGCTAATAGCATATAAAGCTGTAGTTGCTTATTTCGATATATCGTATATTAATGGAATAAAGTGAGGCAGACAATCAGTCAGCAAAAATTTACTTTTCTTATGGTATAAGATGGTAATTTTACTATGAATTATTTATTTAATCATTTCTTGCATTACAATGTCGCAAGTTTCATATTTTGTCTGTTACCCCTCCTTTTAGAGTAACATTTTACTTGTAATTTTCTTGCATTTATTTTATTAAAATATTGTGATAAACGTTTTTAGTAGACATTTTTAATGGATAATGATTTTTTTTAAATCTTTTTGAAGTTCAATTATACAAGCAACTTAAGAACATTTCTAGTAGAATGAAGTTGCATACAGTTTAAGTTTTATAATTGTTTTTTTATTCGTTTTAAAATAATGACAAGGAAAGATTTTATAATAATGACTATGAAAGGTTTTATTTCAGTCAACTTCTTTTGATATTTAAAAAAATGTTGTATAAACAAATGACGTAAATTAAATTGTTTGTCAATAACTTGAGTTGCTAGTTATGATTTTTATGTTTAAATTCATCGTTATTTAATCAAACATCATATATTGTTAATTTTATAAAATCAAGTTTTTGTCAACGTCCTTTACTTTAATTGTGCTAAGAAAATTATAATAAAATTTGATTATTGTTTATTCGTTTTTCTATATATTCTATTTTTGACTGACTTTTTGATTCTACCCCAATTAAAAATAGCTCTAAAAAATATCTAAAAAGGTTCTTAATAAAATAAGTAGTAACAAATAATCTTAAATATAACAAATATTGAGATTTTAGAAGAATTTCGTGCATATTATTTGTTTTAACTTGAGAAATGATTTATGAAAAGAATAAACCGTAAATGTAAGTGATTATTGTAGAATATAGGTACTTTTGATCTTTTTGTTTTGTTTATTGTGAAAGTTTGCGTTACGTAATTTATGGACGATCCCTAAGTGAAAAAATGAACGTATGGTTAACGTATTTTTAGTTAACCCGTAAGTTGCAAAAGTTTAGTGAATCCATACATTAGGGTTTTTTCTTTTTTTTTATTTACATATATTTTTTGTCGTTTATTGCTGGAAGAAAAGAAGAAAGAGATTTTGTGTAGGGTGTAATTAAAATAGAAATTAAATGAAGTTTTATTAAAAGTAATTTCATAACTTTACCGAAGCACCGGGCCGTACTAAGGATCGCCCCAACTAAGAAACAGTCGAAAAGTGTCAGCAGTTTGCGCCCTTCGTCGGTAAATGT